CACACACACACACACACACACACACACACACACACACACACACACACCCCTGCCTACTCATAGGAGGGCAGAGATGAGATAGAAGAAAGGAAAGTACTACGTGATAAAATATTCACTGTCAAAGGAAAAGAATAGAGTAAACCAAAGCTCCTATATAGTATGTGGAAATTGTTTTGCATCTTGTGTGACAGTGGCCTGTTATCTAGAATAAAAAATTCTACCCACTATATGCTCTCTACACTTGCCCTATTCCTTATGCTTTTAAACATTAGTTAGACTTAGCACAGGTCTCTTAAGGATAGATACACAGGTGCAGAGCCATATAAGCAGCTTCTAAGGCCATCATTCTTTAAATCTGCAATGTGTTGCTTGGAAACTTCAGGTCAGGAACGTATATTTCTAGGTAGAGAATGCTTAGGAGGATATTTATGAAATATTGTATTAGTTAGGATGGTTTAGGCTAAAACAAAAAGAAACTTTGTCTAAACTAGACTGAACAATAAGAGGATTTATTATCTTGAGTGGCAAGGTCCCGGCCCCCCTATGTCAGGGCTCCTACTCTACTTTGCAGTTCTTCCTCAGAGTAGTAGCAAGATAGCAGTTCCAGGTACTACATGGCAGACATTTCCAATAGATGAAAAAAAGGACTCTTTTTTTTTTTAATTAAAAAAAATCCTTAATTTTCTACCACCGATACCACTACCGCAATTTACAGGGCAATATACCTGATGTAATGAAAAGAAAAAGGCAAAGCTACGACAGATAAAAGACCTCAGGAATGTACATCTAATTGACAGTACATTGCATTAGTCAGTGGCTGCACTTTTTGCAAACTGGCTATGACAGTCCTGAACAAGCAGAGTTTTCTGTTAAAGCTGAGGTAACTTTTCTGACTGTGGATCATCGTTCCTTCTGTGGCAGATTTTTATAGTTTCTTTGATGTATTTGGGACAGCTGTCTCAAAGTAACCTACAGCTTTCCTGACTCCTCCTCCTCCTCTCTCCTGCTAAGAACTACTATATAGCCCTTTTCTGCTGTTTTTAGAACCTTCTGCTACCATATCTACCACTTTGACCATCATAGGGAATATCTGAGCTTCTTCCACCAAAACTGCCCCCTTTCATGGGTCCATAATTTGGTTGCTGTTGTTCACTGTAATTTCCAAAATCAGTATAGTTACCACCACCACCATAGTTACCACCGCCATAATTTCCTCCTTCATTGTAACCATCATATCCTCTACCACCATCACCATATCCTTGATCCATCACCATCATAGCCCCCTCTACTACTATAACCAGGACCACTACCACAATTGCCACTATCACCTCCAAATCCATTATATGCACCATCACCTCCTCCATAACCACCTCTGCTGCCATCACCTCTACCACCAAAGTTTCCACCATGGCCAAAATTACCTCTACCATCTCCAAAGTTTCCTCCACAATATAATTGCCTGATCCATCTCTGTGACTTCTTTGTCATTCAGCAGACTGCATCTCTTGTTTAGAAAGGGCCTTTATCACTTCACAGTTCTGCCCATTAATAGTGTGGTATTTCTGAACAACAATTTTATCAACTGTATCATGATCATCAAAACTTAGAAAAGCGGATCCTCTCTTTTTCTATTCTGCCTGTCTTCCATAACTTCTGCGGTTTCAATCTTGCCATAGTTTTCAAAAGTAGTCTCTCAAGTTATATTATTCTGTATCTTCTTTAATACTACCAACAGAAATTTTCTTCACTGTTAGATGGGCACCAGACTTACAGCTGTCTGGTTCCACTACACACCCATCAGCCTTGTGTGGTCTAGCACACCTTGCTGCATCTACCTCTTCAACACAAGAGTAAGTCACAAAACCAAAGACACTGGAACATTTTGTTTGGGGTCTCTTATTACCACTCAATCTGTGAATGTGCCCCGTTTCTCAAAATGTCTCTTAAACTATCATCTGTAGTTTCAAAGCTCAGACCACCAATAAAAAGTTTTCTCAAATGCTCTGGTTCCTTTGAATCATGACTCTCCTTGACACCCTCAACCTGCTCCATGGTGGTGGCAACAGCTGGAGTAGGGCTGGGGGCCACCAGGCAGCAGTTTTACCTCCATTTTGAGACCAGACGACCAGACTCACCTTTTCCAATACAAGTTCAGCATCCCGTGTCTTTCTTTTAAGAGTCTTAAAAATTATTTTAAGGATCCTTTTCTAGAAGTTTCTTAAACAGATTTCCCCTTATGTCTTATTGGCCAACACTGGGCCTAATGCAGTTGCTTGCAACAGAAATTATGCCACCATGTTTATCTTAGCATCTGGATTTAACCGTAGGGCTAAGAATAGAATTGCTCTGTCCTGGTTCATATTAGGAAAGGATAAACCCACCTCCCACACCCCTTGTCAACAAAATCAGCGTGCTCCAGCCACAAGATAGAAGAGAGGAATGGCTGTTTACTACAGTTATTTAGGAAAAGATGAGCGTTTGCAGTAAGATAATAGGTTTACTAAGGGAACCTGGGAGGCAGACAAAGTCATCCTTTGTCTTTCATTACCTCCTTCTGGAATATAAATGAATAAAAGTTTAATAATTGTAGTACTCTGTAGTAATCTTCAGAGCATTCGCAGAAAAAAATAAAAAGGAGAGAAAGAGAAATTCTCAGTTTCAGCTAGGTTAGTCATTGAGCTGCTTATTTTTATTATCTGTCAGATTGTCTGGTGTTGTCAGTTACCTGACTTCAGCATGCTTTAACCAAGTGTGTTATACTAGAACAGCCCAGTCTGTAATAAAAACAAAATAAGTGTAGGTATTTGTATATTTTTTTCCAGTTTAATGAATTACACATTGTAGACAGACCTTTATACAGTTTTAATAGCGCCAGAAATTATCTAGATGATTTATTACCCAAGTAATTTAGTGTGACATCTGATTCCTCAATATTAAGCTAGTGAAGAATCTATAAAAACTGCCTGTTTTGCAAAAGCACAGATGTGTGCTGACTATTCTGAGGCATTTGGACATGAAACTTGTGTTAGTATTGCACAAAAAGTTAAGTAATTTGATGATTAGGCTCCTATGATGGGGGCTTAAGGGAGGTCTAGAACAAAGTGATTTGAAAAGTAAAATATTATAAACATTAAGATAAATTCTTTTTTAATAATTAAGATTGTTTTTCAAAACATTATCATTAGCCTGGTCACCTAAAAGTCATAATTCCGCATCAGTGTAGCAGTGTAGCAGTAATGCACTGAAATCAGCAGTAAGGTGTTGGATGCTTGTTTTTATATACAGTTTTAATATAATAGTTATCATGATTTCTGGTTGATCAGTTCTCCTTTTTAATTATAAAATTAGGCCGGGCACGGTGGCTTATGCCTGTAAACCCAGCACTTTGGGAGGCCAAGGAGGGAGGCTCACCTGAGGTTGGGAGGATGAGACCAGCCTGACTAACATGGAGAAACCCCATTCCTACTAAAAATACAAAAAATTAGCTGGGGTGGTGGGGCATGCCTGTAATCCTAGCTCCTCGGGAGGCTGAGACCAGAGAATCGATTGAACCTGGGAGGCAGAGGTTGCGGTGAGCTGAGATCACACCACTGCACTCCAGCCTGGGCAACAAGAGTGAAACTGTGTCTCAAAAAAAATAAATAAATAAAGTAAAATAAAATTAGCCCACAAGCTTCTTGAAACAGAAGCAATTTTAGATTGTCCATAGTTTGTAGTTGATTTATGATTACATTTGTGTGTCTAGCAGGAGGCCTTTAATGATCCCCAAAATAATTTGTTTATAATTTGCTTATAAGTAAAAAAAAAAAAAAAAAAAAAAAAAATTGTTAACTGAAGTATGCATTTTTTCTCACAATTTTAGTATTTACAGTATATTTATGTAATCATAACAATTTGCATATAATTAATTATGAAATCTAATCAGGTTATGAAGAATCTGTATCCAGCTTTTCAACCTGGAAAATGTATATGATTGATGAATACAATCTCTACATTGTTGCATAATTAAATAGTCTTACTCAGCTAAAATGAATAAGTCTAGTTTCATTGAAATAGATTGTATAGTTGTAGTTTACCTCAAGTTTTTTTTTTCTGAGATAAAGTATGACACTACAGTTAGTTGTAGTGTCAGTTAGCTTCCTAAATATGGCAAATTGACCTGCAACAAAAGCCTCTGGTGTGAGACAGATTAAACCTTCAACTCCCAACTTTAATTTCTAATATAATTCAAATTGTTTGTCGCTGAAGCTTTTATTAAAAACAAAAATATATGTTTAATTAAATGGTCTTTATTATTTTCTGTAAATGACTCATTTTCAGATGCACAATCATGAAATAATGCAAATTTTGATTAGTTGTTTTTGTCTTTTTCCTTTTAAAGGTATTTTGGCAAGACCATTAAAACATTGCCTTCTCCCTAACATATGGATGAATTATTTCATTTTATTTTTCCCTTATTTATTTTTGTTTTTACACTCCAAAGTTGTGTCTTTTCTTTTTCTATCTTCATTTTTAAAATTATGCTCCTACTTTTCTAACATCAAAGAATAAACAATATCTAACAGAAGTTTTTATACTTTTTTAAAATTAATGTGTCTGGTATATACTATTCTGGGACATATTTTAACAGATGACCCCAAGTTCATTTACAGTCATATGAAATGTATTCATCTGTGTATTACTAAAAGCACCATCCATTAATATTATCCCTTAGTAAGGCAATTTGGCCTTATGTTAATACATTTATACCCTGTGATTCAGAAATGATACTTATCCTCAAGACATATTCTTTTCCCTGGGGTGGGGGAAGGAAACAGAGTAATGTTTACTATATCACTATTCATAATGGCCAATTGATAACAACCAAAATGTCTAGCAGTGAAATAATAGTAACTAAGCAAATTAGATTTAGAAGCCAGGCACAATGGCTCATGCCTGTAATCCCACCACTTTGTGAGGCTAAGGCAGGCGGATCACTTAAGGTCAGAAGTTTGAGACCAGCCTGGCCAACATGATGAAACCTCATCTCTACTAAAAATACAAAAATTACACTTTGGGAGGCTGAGGCAGTTGGACCACCTGAAGTTAAGAGTTCAAGACCAGCCTGGTCAACATGATGAAGCCACGTCTCTACTAAAAATACAAAAATTTGTTTGGCATGGTGGTACCTGCCTGTAATTCCAGCTACATGGGAGGCTGAGGGAGGATAATTACTTGAACCTGGGAGGCAGAGGCTGCAGTGAGTCAAGATCGTGCTATTACACCCCAGCCTGGGCAACAGAGTTAGATAAAAAAAAAAAAAAAAAAAAAAAAAAAAAAAAAACAAAAAAAAACAGCCAACATGGTGGCACACACTTGTAATCCCAGCTACTTGGGAGGCAGAGGCAGGAGAATAGCTTGAACTCAGAAGGCGGAGGTTGCAGTGAGCCAAGATTGTGCCACTGCACTCCAGCCTGGGCAACAGTGAGACTCCATCTTAAAAAAAAAATTGCCAGCCAGGCACAGTGGCTCATGCCACTGCACTTTGGGCATGCCACTGCATTTTGGGAGGCTAAGGCGAGCAGATCACTTGAGGCCAGGAGTTCAAGACCAGCCTAGCCAACATGGTGAAACCCCATCTCTGCTAAAAATATAAAAATTAGCCAGGCATGGTTTTCACACCTGTAATCCCAGCTGCTTGGGAAGCTTAGGCTGGAGAATTGCTTGAACCCAAGAGGTGGAGGTTGCAGTGAGCCGAAGTCATGCGACTGCACTCCAGCCTGGGCAACAGAGCCAGACTCCATCTCCAAAAAAAAAAAAAAAATTAAGTGTAGAGAATCAGGGGAATATTAATGTTGTCATTAATCGGATTATCAAAATGTCTGTACAGTGCTAGAGGGAGGGGGCAGAATTTTAAAAGTATGTACATTGTAAGTGTATTTTCTCAAGATATATAGGCACGTGGACAAAGTCTAAAGAATGTGCAAATATAAAGGTAGCTGTATTTTAAATTGCAGGGGTTTTTCTTCTGTTTTCTCAGATCCCTACATTGTTTTTTATTAATGAAAGGTTTTTAAGAATGTATTGGGCTTATTAGTAGCCAATACTTTGATGAAGGCTGAACAAAAATATTCATGTAACTTTATTTAGTTATTCAGTATCTTTACCCTTTCCTTCACAACATTATCAGGATTACTGAGTTAACTCAGGTGTGTGGGTGCTTTTGGGTTTTAACAGGTACCAGTCAGTGGCCCAGATCTGGAGGGCAAGCACCTTCATCCCCAAGCTATGAAAACTCACTCCACTCCCTGGTAAGAAAGAGCCTCTTATACATCAATTTTATCTGATAGCTTAGAGTTTGTTTGTTTTTAGTAAATCTGGCATAACAACAAAGAAACAGTAGGCTAGCGTTGCACATGAATTCTTTGCTAACAAATGGCCTGATTCAGTTAACAATATAAGACACACTGGGTATGCCTTTTGACATTTGTTCTTTGGGACATCAGGCCTCTGGTGTCAGGACAGCTGATGTTAAAATCGTGTTGTTATGATTTTTGTTTCTTTGACAAATCTAGGGCTTAATCTTTCTATACTTTTATGTCTACATGTGAAGGGAAACTTTTTTTAAAAAGACAAGTAAAAGCAAGAAATTTTAATGCAAAATGGTTGTATTTTACTCTTTCTCATGTGATAATACTATGTGTGGTTTACTACATTTCCATTAAATTTTAAGTGAATACCAGTTGTTTTTGTTATGAAAGTGTTATTTCCCGTTTTCTTAGGGGAAAAAAGTGTATTGTGCAAATCATACATGCAAAACATTATTTAACCTACAAGGCAGTAAAGGAAGCATGTAGACACTTGAGCGTGAAGAATTTGTGGGAGAATGTTGACTACTGTTGCTTTTGTATACTTATATTTGTAACCCAGAATTACATGGTATCCTAAAAACAAAATAAGGATGATTTGATGGAATGCTAAGTCATGCTCTCATACGTAATTCCAGGTTGCAAAAAGAAACATTCTTTTTCAGTGACTAACAGAACATTTTAAATTGAAGGAACATTTGCTTCTCATTTATTTCGCAAGCAGTTATAAGCAATGTGTGCCGTTTAGATGCTAACCTTATAACTTCCCTGTTGAATCCAAGCCTTTTCATATCTTAATAAAATAGATCTCTCAGGTCTTTGCGTTAACTTTACTAACATGTTATGCTTACATGCATATCAGCTATTTCCTCATCTCTTTTGGAGTTAATCTTAACCTGTGCTTTGCCTCCTGTTCTGTCTTGACTTTGCCAGAAAAATCGAGTTGAGCAGCAACTTCACGAGCATTTGCAAGATGCAATGTCCTTCTTAAAGGATGTCTGTGAGGTACTATTTCTTTTAGATGGTGCCTTTTTTGTGTTTCAATTATACTTCCCATTATTCATTTAAAATCTTTACCCTGTACAGACTCCAGTCTTTAAAAATCAGACAATTGACTTATTTCAGTTTTTATCACGGTATATAGGAATGGATTTTTGTCTCTTATGTTGTTGAAAGTGATTCTTTTTAAAACAGCTCTACTGGCATGTGCTTTTGATTTTTAAAATTCTAATATGTTTGTGTATGGGGCATGTGTGTATCCGCAGACAGACAATACCATTTATTTCGTTTTGTCAAAGAACATATCTGGATGTGTTCACCATATAAGATACATGTGCTTTGTATACTTCAGACAAAATTAGAACTTAAACTTACTGGATGTGAGGTCCCTTCCCCAAATTACCATCATTCAAAGATCAGTATTAAAGTATAGGTTGTCCTTTATTTTGTTTTTTTAGCAATGATAATTGCTTATTGACATAGTATCCTTCATCTTTTATAGAAGCTAAAAGAAATAACCTCATGGTAGTTTGGCAAATTCATTTTATAAAGCAGTGATTTGTTTCTGACACTGAAAGTTTAGCATAGTCTACGTACAGATAGCCTTTCTATTTTTGTTGATTTGTAGTTCAGGTGGTTGCTTTTGAAGCTACTTGATATTGCATTTCACTTGCTGTATTCCATATCACATAATAGGAAGCATAGCAGTTAATGAATCTAACAGATGCCAGCAATAACCTCCATGTTTTTTTCAATCCATACAGCAGTCTCGAATGGAGGATCGTTTAGACAGACTGGATGATGCAATCCATGTGCTGCGGAACCATGCTGTGGGACCTTCCACCAGTTTGCCTGCTGGTCACAGTGATATACACAGTTTATTGGGACCATCCCATAATGCACCAATTGGAAGCCTCAATTCAAACTATGGAGGATCAAGCCTTGTTGCAAGCAGTCGATCAGCTTCGATGGTAAAATCGCGCTCATCTTTTTTGTAGTAAACCCTAAATATTCTTGTCCTATGTGTCTTTAATGTAATCTTTGGGAAGAGGATCTTTCTGAAAGGCAAAGACTGACTTTTCAGAATTTTTCTTACTGTCTTTGGCAGTAGAGTATTGGCTAAGTATTAGTCTGTAAAATCTTCTTGTGACCTTGTGCAAAAAGCAGAAGCTTTCTACAAAGATCATTTTTAGCTTACACTTGTTTTTTTTTCCCAGATGTGTAATAATTGACACAACAGTTTTTGCCTTGAAATAGTGCATAGGAAATCTGAACAGCAAGAATTTTAATCTAGAAAAGTTGTTTATTATAATTTAGAACCAGTCTTCAATGGTAGAAAGAATGTGAAACTATAATTTATGCAAGTCCAAATTTAAACTTTATTCCAAAATTATGGGGGAAGTAGTTTTAAGAATGGCTATAACTTTAGTAATAAAGTAAACAATTTTAGATTAATCTAGAAAGAGAATTTTTAAGAACGTTGCCCATCTTTTAAAAAACACGGTAATTTTTTAGAGTGGGAAAAAGACTTCTATAGCCATACACATCAAAAATTTTGTGTTTACCATCTTACATTATTTTTTATCCAAATTTTCTTTTAAAGAAATGAAGCTCATTTGGAACCTGCTATTTTAAACTTGTACCATGTGTTTGCATGTTTATGGCATGGTTTTTATGGCTCATTGCATGCTCTGCAGTGTTCTTCTCTGAAACAGATTTTTAGCTTTAAGCCATATGATGAAGGCTAAAACTTATCTATCATCAAAATAATTAGGTGCCCCGAATGCTGAAGGCTTGTGTTCTGTAAGAGGATTGGTTTCAGATTTTTGCCCGTATCATATAACCATTTATACCCATTTTTGAGCCTCTGTACTAAACAACACACAAGGTTGCCTATTTTCTGAGAACTATATTTTCACCAGCATGGGTAACATTAGATGCCGTGTGTGTGTGTGTGTGTGTGTGAAAGAGAGAGGAAATCATGAAAATCAGTCTCCTTTTAAAGTACTTTTTGTTGCTATTGATAAGCTAGTAAGTGTCAAAACATTTATGAGTTAGTAAACTAGTAAAACGGGGGAATGTCAGATGGCTCTCACCAGTAATCCGAGCACTTTGGGAAGCCAAGGTGGGAGGATTGCTTGGAATTCCAAGACCAGCCTGGGCAACAAAGAGAGACCCCTGTCTCTACAAAAAATCAAAAAAATTAGCATGGCACGGTGGCATGTGGTGTGGTCCTAGCCACATCCTAGGTGAGAGGATCTCTTGATCCCAGGAGGTTGAGGCTGCAGTGAGCCATGTTTGTGCTACTGCATTTCGGCCTAGGCAACAGAGCGAAACCCTGTCTCACAAAAAAAAAGAAAGAAAAAATATGTGAGGGTATTGTTACCACTTTTGGTAATAGTAATGAAATTATTTTACTGATACAATAAAAGGTATTTGTTACAAATATAAATGCAGAATAACTAATTATTAATAATTTGTTGAAATACTATTTATCCTTATTTAGAAGCATGACTTAAAAATCAATATACTTGAATCTTAAGTTAGCCTCAGCAGCAACATTTGTAGTTCTTATTCCTTACCTCTTAATGATTTTTTAATTTTTTACTTTTACCACCTTACGGCTCCTATTCCAACTTATCTGCTACAGTATTTCATATATATCTGGCTTTTCCCATTTCAAAGTTTGCATAAGACATAATTTCTTTCTTGAGAAAGCTGAGTTGTTGTTTTTTTAAACCTATTTTGGATATTCCATAATAGGAAGGGGGACTTATCAAAATGCAGTCCTCCAAAGCCACATAGAAACCTAGTGCATTTTAGAAGGACTGGTAGAGAGAAAAACTTTTTCATTGGATGTCACCCTAAAACTTACAACTGAGAAAGTAGCTCCCACTATATGCTGAAGGAATGTGCTGCCCACTTCGGAACAACAACAAAAGGTCTGCCAGAGATATTCTTAGAAAGAAAAAAAGTCTCAAATAATCTAGAATAAAATGGTCCCCTGAGACATGAGGTGAGTCTGGCTTAGTCCGAGCAGCAACATCAGTGCCACAGCAGCTAGCCCAGGCTGCTGCTCAGTGTGTCTATCACAGCCTTCTCATCAGTCCTTATCACGTTCTCAGCGGGCACAGAGCTGTGAAAAATCTGCTAGAAGTCATCTGCTGTCTTCATCTCATCCAGACACAATTGCTAGTACTTTTAACAGTGGAGATCAGATGTATCTTGCCAGGATTAGCGTCGAAACATAAAGTTATTAGCTGACAAAATCTGACACTGTTAGGTGAGTCAGCATTCATCTCCTGTCCTGAAGTAAGTAAGCCTTTTAGCTGTTGAGTCCTCAGTTCTCAGCTTCAGCACAAAGAGCAAAGGATGGAATGAAGATTAGTCTGCCAGTGACTATCCCAGCTGAGACTTAGCCATGTTGTTGAGGAAGACTCTGTCTTATCATGTGGTTCTTTTCCATGTCTGAGGACTTCCATTAGTCCTGCTGGGAGCCCTTTGTTTACATGCTCAACACCCACTATATGGAATCAACTCTTCATATTCTTGCAGAGTATGTGATTTTGGGGGCACATTTTTTAACTCTCTCTCTCTCTCTCTCTCTTTTTTTAGATGGAATTTCTCTCTTGTTGCCCAGGCTGGAGCGCAGTGATGCTATTTCGGCTCTCTGCAACCTCCACCTACTGGGTTCAAGCGATTCTCCTGCCTCAGCCTCCTTGAGTAGCTGGGATTACAGGGCCTGCCACCACACCCAGCTAATTTTTTGTACTTTTAGTAGAGACGGGGTTTCACCATGTTGGCCAGGCGGTCTTGAACACTTGACCTCAGGCAATCCACCCACCTCAGCCTCCCAAAGTGCTGTGATTATAGATGTGAGCCACCATGCCCAGCCCATTTTTGTAACTCTTGCCTACTGTCTCCAAGAGTTAATCTCCAGATTTTATTGTCCCCTCATCCCCTCCATGCATCCTCTTAAGTGATCGTGAACAAGAAATAATGTGGTTTGACATTGTGCAATTGCTTCCCCACTGCCCCCGACCCCCACCTTGTTTTTGGTCTCTTGTAACTTTTCAGAAGTTTGTATATGCTTTTCTGCATTAATAAACATTAGTATTTGTGTCAGGCTCCTAATAATGGTGGCTACCTGACCCAACTTAAAAAGTGACCACAGAAATACCTGTTGATCAGCAATTTTATACCACCATATAGAATTCATGAGGTCAGCTTCTTTCAAAAACATTTGCTTATCATTATTCCATGTATTTATTGCAGAGAATAAAATTATTCTGATAAACGTTTATATTTTTAGGACCTCCACAGAACATTCAGATGACATTTTTGTTATAATGGAACTTTATCCTGATGGGCAGAATCCTAATTGTAGGGTTTAAATATATCGCTTTTTCTCCTAGCATTTAGAAAAGGGTTCAATATGCTTTTTCTATAAAGGGCCAGGAGTAAATATTTTCAGCTTTGTAGGCTATATAGTGTATCACAGTGTAATATGAAAGCAGCTATAGACAATATGAAAAGAGATGGGTATGGGTATATTCCAGTAAAACTTTATTCACAAAAACAAGCTCCTTTATTTATTTAATTTAAAAATTTAAAAAGTCAAGATTTGGCTACAGGCCAGACCTTGGGAATTCCTGATTTATAACATAAATTGGCACCTCAGCAGGTATAATGGAGTTAGCATGTTTTTCTTTTTCTTGGAGCCTATAACATTTGTCATATGTTAATAAGTAGTTTGAGAGTTTTGTTTAAGTAATTGAAATACTTGAGGTGAACCAGGATACACTGGTAGCGGAAAAGTAAGAGTTGATGGCAGTATAAAAGTGGTACAGGCCAGGCACGGTGGCTCACAACCGTAATCTCAGCATTTTGGGAGGCCAAGGTGGGTGGATTGCTAGAAGCAGAAGTTTGAAACCAACCTGGACAAAGAAGTGAGAACCTGTATCTACAAAATTTTTTTAAAAATTAATGGCATAGTGGCATACACCAGTGGTCCCTGCTACTCAGGAGGCTGAGGCAGGAAGATTGCTTGAGTTCAGAAGTTGAGGCTGTAGTGCGCCATGATCATGCCACTGCACTTCAGCTTGGACAACAGAGTGAGACCTTGTCTCTTTAAAAAAAAAAAAAAAAAAAAATAGTGGTACAGACAGGTCAGTTCCCCGTCTGCAGTACAGACAAGTCACTGATGAAGGTTACTAGTAATGTAAAGTCTACATGGACACAGTAACCATTTGGCCAAGCTATTTCATTGTTCTCATTAGTATATGATACTGATACATCATTTAAATTTTAAAACACAAAATCAGGGGTTTTAGAACTACTGAAATGTCAGCAATTGGCTTTAGTTTTGTTCCCATTTATTTAGCATAAAGCTAAAGCTTCAGAATAAAATGCTGAGAAGAAGGAAAGTTTTTAAATGGAACACTGAAAATAAAAGGAATCATGAATTTTAGCAGTGCATGGTGGCTCACGCCTGTAATCCCAGCACTTTAGAGGCCAAGGTGGGCAGATCACCTGAGGTCAGGAGTTTGAAACCAGCCTGTGCAACATAGTGAAACCTCATCTCTACTAAACATACAAAAAAAATAGCCAGTTGGGGTGGCAGGTGCCTGTAATCCCAGCTACTGGGGAGACTGAGGCAGGAGAATCGCTTGTACTGAGGAGGTGGAGATTGCAGTAAGCCAAGACTGTGCCATCGCACTCCAGCCTGGGCAACAAGAGTGAAACTCCATCTCAAAACAAAACAAAAAAAAGGAATTTAAGAACAGCCTGGTAAACATAGGGAGACCTCCTCTCTTAAAAAAAAAAAAAAGAAAGAAAGAAAGAAAGAAGGAAAAAATTTTATGTTAGCCACATGTGGTGGTGCATGCCTGTAATCCCAGGTACTTGCGAGGAAGAGGTGAGAGGATCACATGAGCCAGGAGTTCAAGGCTGCAGTGAGCCATAATCACACCATCGCACTTCAGCCTAGGTGACAAAGTGAGACCCTTTATCAATTTAAAGAAAAGGGAAGGGAGAATCGTGAATTTCATATGAGCATTACAAAGAGCTCTCAGCAATATAAAGTTAGCATACATCCCATCAATTTATGGCTGTAATACCTAAATACCTATGCCCAACAAGATAACTCCGTGACAGCACCATTCTCTTTAATGAAAAGTACTGTTATTCCTCAGTCAGACAGTAACTTCAACTTCAAACCAAAGTTAAATGAGATTCGAAGCATTTTGTACTGATGGAAGCTTGATGCAGATCTAAAACAGTTTCTTATTTATGACATAGGATAAAATTTTATTGTGAGATCGTTTGATTTCATTGTTACAAGTCCTGAGAAAATTTAATCCAGGCATTTCTCTTAATTATTTTTTTGGTATTACTTGGGCTTTTTGTTAAGGGGTAGTTGAAGAAGTGTGATATTGTATGAGAGCCTAGTAAATAATGTTAAATTGTAAAGTGTAAGGCTACCTTATGTAATGATTTAAAAATATAAATCAGGCCGGATGCCATTGCTCACGCCTGTAGTCCCAACACTTTGGGAGGCCAAGGCAGGAGTTCAAGACCAGCCTGGCCAACATGGTGAAACCCCATCTCTACTAAAAATACAAAAATTAGCTGGGCATGGTGGTGGGCGCCTGTAATCCCAGCTACTCAGGAGGCTGAGGCAGGAGAATGGCTTGAACCGGGAGGTGGAGGTTGCAGTGAGCCGAGATTGTGCTGCTGCACTCCAGCCTGGGCAACTAACTGAGCAGGACTCTGTCTCAAAATAAATAAATAAATACATATATGTATATATATGTGTGTGTATATATATATATATATATATACACACACACACACATATATGTATGTGTATATGTATATATGTATATATATGTGTCATGTCTGTTTTCTAAATTTTAAAGCGATTCGAGAAACTGTTTTTCTTAGTTATAAAAGACTTAAGACTAAGTTATTAAAGACCGATAGGCAAATAGGGTAGTTGGCATTTTTGTCATTTATCAAAATAAATTTGAAATCATTTTAATCTTCATTTGGACAGTATTTAATTTTAGCAATGTGGGTTTGTAATACGGTAGAAATTGTGTGTCTATGTTTCAGCTCAATAGAAGGATTTTACTTTTAACCACTCCCTTTACTCTTTCCGAATAATTTTCTCCTAAATGGGCAATCTTTAAAATTTTGATTAAGACAATATTATAGTGCTTTTTAAGGGTTTTGGTTACATTTTAAAATTCAAAATTGTTCAAAATGGCAACTTTTTTAAAATTTGAAAACCATGGGGGTTATACATTTATGGAAGTATTTAAAAGGAACCATAACAAATGTAATACCACAAAGTTTCTAGTAAAACCTCTCTTCAGATGAAATACAATCTTGGAGTAGACAGTATATAAAGATCCTTTAACCAATCTGTAAATTAATACTGATTAATTTAAAATCATTAGTATTCAGTGAATGATACAAATTCAACAAATTATTAGAATAGAATTAAAAATCAAGAGGAATTCATACTGTTTTTCAGTTTGTCTCGTAATTCGAAGACCTCTTATTCATCATCTAATTAGATTTAACATTTTTCCATTGTGAGTGCTAAAGCCATTGGTCAAATTAAATGAAAACAAGTCCCTTGTTGGGTGCTCCCAGAAAAGTAAGGCCATACACAGATTGAGTATGCAGGATGGTGTCATTTAATGGCATGGGCCTTTTATTCTGAAATGGAGCTCTTCATAATCATTGAAACTTAGAGGGTAGCAGGCTTTGGGGTTTGCCATGCCCTGCTATTCCCCCAGCAGCAGCAGCCTGTCAGCTGTATGCTAACGAGGTGAACAATTAAACAGAGTCCTATTTGGCTGGCCCCACAGGCTCTAGGCTCAGACAAAGAACTGTTTATACACCTGTTGTATGTGTAGACAGAGCCATTATAATGTGGAGCTGCAGATTAATGGGAAGACTTAGGAGCCCAGGAGAGCAAGGGTTAAAGAGAACTATAAGAACTGTGAAAGTCAAATTCTCCAGAAAATACATGAGGGCCATTTGCAAGGGGAATCATGTTACAAAGAAAAAGTTTCTGCTAACTTCATTAACATGAAAAACTCCAGACTTCAAGCCTTCTTCTAGTCTGAGACTGTTTTTTTAAAAGGCTTATATTTTTGCTGTGCGTGCTGGTTAAATTTTTCCTTTGGTAAGCTAATTATGTTTAAGTTCGTGTGAGAAAACATTTAGTTTCTATTATTCTATAGCTGTAAAAATATTTGCTGGTATTTCTATTGCAAAACAAATCTAGCATCCTTTCTGATTTTTCTGAAGGGAAAAGTAAAATTTCTAGTATTTATTATTTAGATAATCATCACACATTTTTTAATAGTTGAATTTTAGAAAATCAAAGAATTATTTATGCTAATGAAGTAAAAGGAAATCAGAATTCAGCAGATGCATCATCACTTAGATAAGTGAAAATTCAATTTGTTACTGTTCAGTAGTATTGTCTTACAGAGCTATAAAATGTTTCACTTTTATAATATATACTAAAGTATAATGTGTTTAAAATTTCAATTTAGAAGTCTATTTTCTTTTAAATTACTTGGTGTGATAGTTCAAAATACTATGTAAAAACAGAATTAGCACATATTGCCAGGGGTCGTAAGAGGTTTTAAGTCCACATTATTATAAATGCACATACACCTCAGCTTTTACTTTAACTTGTAATTATTTTCTCAGCCCATCAAAATTCTCCTAGATTTATTTTATCTTTAGAGTAGGCCTAATCTTCTAAAGTTCCAAAAAAATTTACAGCCATATGTTGTGTTTGCCCATATCTGTTTTTATAAAATGGGATTCTGAACTGCCTTTCCTCTTAGATCACTGGGTAATTCATAGTAAGAAAACAAGCTCATTTGTTAAGAATAAACAAGACCAGGATACTCTTGAAACAGAATTTTATTAAATATCTTTAAAATAATTTGTTCTCTTGAATTCAGTTTTCACAATCCATTTCTTTACTGGTGGTTAGGTTGAGTACTTCAAATTCTTCTCAAGTTTTTTTAGGGGAACAACTAAATACTGAAACTTTCTGAAGTGGGAAGTGGGACGGAAGCTTGCCATAGCTTCTGTGGTCCCTTCTCAGCTTTAAGATTTTGTGATTGAAAAACATGATTAAATTGGGTGGTTTAGAGAAAGGATATAGTGGATGCATGATTATTACCCAAGGGAGTAGTGACACAAATAATGCTCAGCAATGGCCAATTCTAAAATAATTTTAAAAGTTAACTATTGCATTAAATTTTAAAATCCGCTAAATTAGTTTTTTTTAAATAAAGATTAGAATAAGTGTAAAAGACAAACATTTCTTAGAAAGTGTGGTGGAATAATGGATCCATTCTAATTTGATCTATTGCCAAATGGCTTGCATTGCCTAAAACTTTGCTTTGGTCCCTTTTGTTTAGCTTACAGGAAACCAAAGGATAAACTTGCATAGGGGTATTTATGCTTCTTAGGGTAAAATCATACAAAGTCATGGAAGATAAAAGCTATATTAATTACTCAAGAGGGATGCAAAGCTTGGCAGTTTACTAGGATTGAAGGATTTATTCAAAAACAGTGGTTCTTACGTATAACTCCAGGCAAAAAAACTATTTAATTAGAAGCTTAATCTTCTAGTTGACATGTCTGCTACTATTCTAATAAAAACTTCATCTGTAACAGTTTTTTATGTATATTAATACTGCAATAGCTGAATGTTTGGTGGTGTTTGCATGCTTTAGCTTTCCTATTTCAGGTTAACTGTGACTTGTGTAAGTTTGATTAAAGCTAAAAATAAAAATACATGTAAATTTTGCTGCCTAGCAATGCACAGCTTTTGTTTTAAATTCTTTTAATTTTGTATTGCTTATGCTGCTGTTTCAAAAGTTTGGAGGGGAAGATACTATATATGATGGAGGGGGCAAACTTAGATAAATACTACTATTGCGTGGAATGTAGTAGTATTTTGTTAAATGCCAGTTCATGCATACTTTAACATATGTAGGTATTATATGAAATAGATTTTCAGATTGATATTAGACCCTATAATATATAGTGCATTGTGGCTTACAGAATGCTTTATCAGCTCATTTGCTTCTAACAACAACCCTCTGTTGGATTTAAAATTTACAAATTAGAATTCTCATTTTTTATAAAAGGTATGTTTTGGTTTGATTTAAAAGCAGTGCTTCTATGAAGTATTAATATTTTGAAATTCTCCTCAAAAACTGGAATAATGACATCCAGAAAAGTTTGCTGAATTCAAATGAGTAATAATGTTTTCTCTATGAAACCTAGTAAAATAATTTGGACAGTTATTACCCCTGAACTATCTTGACCATTTTTATTTTGGGGTTTTTGTGGGTTTTCTTCAACTTTAGGTTGGAACTCATCGGGAAGACTCTGTCAGTCTCAATGGCAATCATTCAGTCCTGTCTAGTACAGTCACTACTTCAAGCACAGACCTGAACCATAAAACACAAGAAAATTACAGAGGTAACTATATTGTTGGTTTTCAGAAATAATGCAGAGATATCATTTGGATCACTGTCACCTTTCTCACAGCTGGATTGACATCTGTGAATCAAAAGTCATTTAGATGAGGGAGTTCCAAATAGTAGTGTGGAAAGCAGATATTTAGGGTTCCAACTGGCCCACCTAGGTTGGCAGTTACACATACCTGTTGATGAATAGAGCCACATACAGACCATTGTTCAGTATTTACCAGTTGTCTTTTACCTCTTCCTATTCTGTCATGTCCTTCTTCCTCAGACATTTACCATCATGAATATATGTATCTTCATGGTTCCTAGAGGCAGGAACAGAGATATTTTTGACTATACTGAGACCTCCGAATGGTGGAAGCTGTTGTTTTAGAGATTATCATTTGATTGGAGAGTCATAAAATTTTTATAAAAAGCCAACTGATCACTATTCCAATAGAGCTTACAAATAAGTGTGAATATAGAGCACTTGTAAGTGCAAATAAGACCACCAAAATAAAGTTCTCGCAGTTATATTTAACCATGATTCCTATTTTGCCGTTTATCAGGAAGATGTTAAGCCTAGGTCCTTTACCTTGGCAGCATCTTAGAAGTTAGTTTCTATAATCCATAGTTTTTCATCCTTGTTCATTTGTAGAATAGTTCCTGAAAGTGAACATTAGACTTGTCAGGGGGGATCAGACTTGTTCTTTTAAATACAAATGCTGTTAAAAAGCACAAGGATGTTTGACACGTTCTTTTCAGCTCTAAATAGTCTACTTTCCTACATCTTCTAACTTCCATCATAATCCTGTAACCACTAAGGATATTCACCTGCTAGAATTTTATTGTGTTAGTTCTAATTCATAATGAATCTCGTCTTTTATTTTCTGTTACCTTTGCTTCTTTGTTAGGTGGCTTGCAAAGTCAGTCTGGAACTGTTGTTGCAACAGAAATCAAGACTGAAAACAAAGAAAAGGATGAAAACCTTCATGAGCCTCCTTCATCAGATGACATGAAGTCAGATGATGAATCCTCCCAAAAAGATATCAAGGTTTCATCTAGAGGCAGAACAAGGTATTTGTTAGCATCCAGGGTTTAAATTTCACTCATTTGCCATAGGTAAAAATACTTGAGAAGTTGGATGTCATGCATTTATTAACATGTTCTATGTTAATAAATGTTGTAGATATTGTGTTAGGATTTTTGTGTATGTTATCTCATTTAAGCACCACGTCCTCCCTATAAAAGAGAAGCATATGAAGGTTTGACTTCAAAATTATGTTTCCCTTCATACTACACTGTTTTAGGGACTATATGTAAAAAGTAATTATATCTCTTCACTCAGGTTGCTTAGTCTGTTAGACAGTTAGAAGGTAAAATAGCTAAAAGAAGTTAAATTGTGTGGTACAGACATTTAGATAGATTTGATCAATAAATATTTTAACATAGGTTTCACTTAACAATGGGAGAAGTTGTAAGAAATGCATTGTTAGGCAATTTCATCATTGTGCAAAGGTAGAGTATACTTTCACAGACATAGCCTGTTGTTTCTAGGCTGTATATCTGTATGCTATGTTACTAAACTGAATACTGTAAGCAGTTGTAACACAATGGCAAGAAATTGTATATCTAAACACATAAAAGGCATGGTAAAAATAACAGGTGAAGAATGGTACACCTGTACAGAGCACTTATCATGAATAGAGCTTGCAGGACTGGAAATTGCTCTGGGTCATTCAGTGAGTGGGTGGTAAGTGAATGGGAAAAGAAGGCCTAGGACATTTCTGGACATTACTATAGACTTTACAGACACTGTACATTTAGGCTATATTTCATTTATTAAAATACATTTTTCTTCAATAGTAAATTAAAATTAGCTTATTGTATGTTTTTTACTTTATACATTTTTTAATTATTTTTAACTTTTTGACTCTTGTAATAACAGCTTAAAACACAAACACATTATATAGCTATACAAAAAAAATTTCTTTAAGTCATTTTGTAAACTTTTTCTTGCTTTTTTCTTTCTTTCTTTTTTTTTTGAGATGGAGTCTTGCTCTGTTGCCCAGCCTGGAGTGCAGTGCCATGATCACGGCAACCTCCGCCTGCCGGGTTCAAGCAATTCTCCTGCCTCAGCCTCCTGAGTAGCTGGGATTACAGGCACCCACCACCACCGCAGGGTTTGTACTTTTAGTAGAGACAGGGTTTCACCATGTTGGCCAGACAGGTCTCAAACTCCTGACCTCAAGTGGTCCGCCCACCTCAGCCTCCCAAAGTGCTGGGATTACAGGCGTGAGCCATCATGCTGGGCCTTTGTAAGCTTTTTTCTATTTTTAAAATTTAGTGTTTTATTTTTTTACTTTTCAGACTTTTTTGTTAAAAACTAAGACACAGACACACATGGTAATCTAGGCCTACACAAGGTCAAGATCATTAATATCATTGTTTTCCACCTCCACGTCTTGTCCCAGTGAAGGTCTTCACAGGCAGTAACATGCATGAAGCTGTCATCTCCTATGGTAACAAAGCCTTCTTCTGGAAAACCTTCTAAAGGACCTGCCTTCAGGTTTTACAGTTGACTTTTTTTTTAAAGTTAGAAGTATACTGTAATGATAAAAAGTATAGTTAGTATAGTATAAATACATATACTATACCAATAACATAGTTATTATCAAGTACAGCAGATCCTGAAAGAACATCATTTTGTGAAACGTTGATGACAAAAAAAAATTGATTCCTAGCTGGAGCCTCTGTCTCTGTGGAGTTTGCACATTCTTCCCATGTGTCATCATGTGGATTTTCTCTTAAGTACTCCAGTTTCTTCCTTCACCCCAAAGATGTGCATGTTAGGTTGATTAATATGTCTAAACTGTCCCAATATGAGTGAGTGTGGGTGTGTGTGAGTGTGCCCTGCAATGGAATGGTGTCTTGTCCAGGGTTGGTTCTGCCTTGCTCCCTGAGCTGCTGGGATAGGCTCCAGCTTCCCCCGACCCTGAACTGGAATAATTGGGAAAATTATTGTCTTACTTATTTTTACAAGTCTTTCTTAAATATGTATATATAGTTCACATTTATTTCAACGTTTAATGTTAGAAGTGTTTTTGGTCTTTCTTTAGAAGTTTTGGTGATATTTCGCCACCAGAAATGTACTGTAGGGACTTAACTCTTGTTTATATCAATTAACCTATGATAAAATTGGTTTTATTATATGTCATCTTGCTTGAAGTTTCCAAGAACTGATCAATGACAATAAGTGAGGACTTACCGTAGTGTGTACCATACATAATTGCATGCTTTTATACAACTGGCAGCACAGTAGGTTATACCAGCAGCTATACAAACAATGGATTATGTGACTAATGCATTGTGCTGCAGCCCTACTACAGCTACAACATCACTGGATGATAGAATTTTTTAGCTCCAATATAATATTATAAGACACTGTCATATATATAGTCCCTCATTGATCAAAACAGCATTATGGGCCTCTTAACTGTATATTAATATAAGGGCTGAATATATGGCAAGACTCTGATTTAAACAAGGGGTCAGCAAATAATGGCCGATGGGCCTACCCAGCTTGCTACCCGTGTTTGTTTTTATTATTATCATATATATATGATATATAATAATATATATATATATATTTTTTTTTTTTGAGATAGGGTCTCGGTGTCACCCTGGCTGGACTGCTGTGGGGTGATCTTGTTTCACTGCACCCTCAGCCTCCCAAGTAGCTGGGATTACAGACACATGCCATCATGTCCAGCTAATTTTTGTATTTTTAGTGGAAACAGGGTTCCACCATGTTTGCCAGGCTGGTTTCAAACTCCTGGCCTCATTAATGATCTGCTCACCTCGTCCTCCGAAAGTGCTGGGGCTGCTGCCTATCTTTATAAAGTTTTATTAGAACTTCACCATGCCCCATTCATTTACTTATTGCTAGACTAAAATAGTTGCCACAGAGACTGTATGGCCCACAAAGCTGAAAATATTTACCATCTGATTCTTCTCAAGTATGAAAAAGGAAGTACTCTAGGCAGAATGATGTTACGTGGCGTTTTCTAGAAAATGGACTTGACCTTGCTGTGAAGTATGAATATAGACACATAGTATGTTAGTTTCAAGTGATTTCCAGATTTTTCCTTCAAATTTTTTTTGCAGTTCTACATTAAAATTACATGAGTTAGGCCAGGCACAGTGGCTCACTCCTGTAATCGCAGCACTTTGGGAGGCTAAGAGAGGAGTATCACTTGAGGCCAGACATTCAAGACCAGCCTGGGTATCGTAGCTAGATTCTGTCTCTACAAAAAGTTATAAAAATTATTGGGACATGGTGGCACACACCTGTAGTCCCACCTACTTGGAAGGGTAAGGCAGGAAGATTGCTTGAGTCCAGAAGTTTGAGGCAGTGGTGAGCCATGATCATGCCACTGTACTCCAGCCTGGGTGACAGAGAGATGCTGTCTCTAAAAAAATTTTTTTTAATAAAAATTTAAAAGTTAGATCAGTTAGTACATTTGTGGTACACCCTATTTCTTGGCATACATATTCATTTGTCAGTGATAAGTGTATATCTCATACAGATTTAAAACATTGTTCTTTGTGTTGAATTATGGTGCAAAGGAGACTACAATGAGGATGGTAGATAAAACTAAAAGAAGCAGAATGGTTCTTTCTGTCAGTCACATGCTTAAAAGGTGTCCTTTTGCTCTTTTGACATTCTCACTGTTTTCAACACTTAAACATTTCTCTTGGGGAAAAAGGAAATCTTAAGATCTTAGTAGTATTACTTTAATGTGCATTGTACTCAACTATCAGGGGCATAAGGAAGGAGAAACTGTTTCAAGGAATTCAGAAATCACTCTTTCAAGGCATCTTAACTCTTTCATAGCTTTCATTAAAATAGAATTTTAAGGGAAACAATTTACATCTTTCCTCCATATTCATCTTCTTATAGCTCAGGAATCGGTAAACCTTCTCTATAAAGGTCCAAATAGTGAAGATTTTAGGCTTTATTGGACATACAGTCTCTGTCACAGCTACTCACTTCTGCTGTTACAGCGCAAAAGTAGCCAAAGACAAATGGATATAGCTGTTCCAATAAAATTTTAGTTAAAAAAAACAGATGACCAGCTCATAGATCATAGTTTGCTTACCCATATTATAGATCATCAGAAATTAGGTGGCAGTTTAATAGGTTAGTTATAGTCCATAATAATGAATAGGTTAATAATATGGCCTTTGGACAAGGTAAGATAACCTGGTTTTGAATCGTGGTTCCATTGCATACTTGCCAAGTGACCTTGGGCAAGTCTTTGAGCTCAGTTTCTTTTTCTTCTCTAAAAAGAGACTTTCTATTACAGGATTCTTATAGGAATAACCTAAAAATGATGCGTGTAAAAACCTTTGCACAATGTCTAGCACACAGTAAGCACTCAATAAAGATACTGTGTCTACTGTTACGGTGGTCATTTTAGGTATATGGTGTAGGTTTGCTTCCACAGTGCACTGACCTGACATCTCATCGTTATACTACCACCAATTAGCTGTGATCCTGTGTCGTGAAGTGGTTCTAAACCCTGCTGCACAGACCCTGCAACATTTTAGAAATATAGGTGCTTGGATCCTAAACCAAACTCACTAAATTAGTGAGTCTAGCATCTCTGGTAGTAAGACCTGGAAAGTTGTATTTTTAAAGTGCTCCTGGAGATACTAATGAGTGGCTAACATCTGTGGACACTTTTGATGATCTTTAAGTGGACTTTTGATGATCTTTAAAGGCCTTTTTGAAGTCAAAGAACCAGTTACTTTCTTTTGCTAAAAGAATGCATTTATGTAATTCTTAATGATTAGCAGGTAAAATGTTAATACTTTTTAGAAACAGGGTCTCTGTCTCCCAGGATGGAGTGCAGTGGACTATAACCTCAAACTTTTGAGCTCAGGCAGTTCCCCCATGCCCACCTCAGCCTCTGAAACCACTTAGGTTACAAGACATTAGCCACCATGTCTGTCCTGTGTACTTGTTCTTTTATTAGAATACTCAGGGTATTAGAGAAAAGATTAAAATGCCTAATATTTTTGCACATGATTTCAAGGTTCTGAGAAGCTTTGGTCAGTAATTTATATCTGAGTCATAAATAGAATTTTGTATATACTGTTACAAAGCATCTCCCTCATGTTTTTTTCTAATTATATAGTCTGTTTTCATTACAGAAAGTTAGAAAATACAGACAAGTATACACAGAAATTACAAGAAACCTCACTATTCAGAATTAACCACTGTTAACTTTTTCTTTTTTTTTTTTTTTTCCTGAGATGGAGTCTCATTCTGTCGCCCAGGTTGGCGTGCAGTGGTGTGATCTTAGCTCACTACAACCTCTACCTCCTGGGTTCAAGCAATTCTGTTGCCACAGCCTCCTGAGTAGATGAGATTATAGGCTCCTGCCACTATGCCTGGCTACTTTTTGTATTTTTAGTTAGATGTGGGATTTCGCCATGTTGGCCAGGCTAGTCTCAAACACCCGACCTTAGGTGATCTGCCTGCCTCAGCCTCCCAAAGTGCTGGGATTACAGGTGTGAGTCACCGTGCTCAGACTCACTGTTTACATTTTTAAATAGTATCTCTTTTTCCATGAATGCATTTTAAATTGGAATTAAACTGGATGTAAGTTTTCTTTACTGATTTATTTTTAGGGATTTTTTTTATTTTATTTCTGTTATACCTGAGACTTAATAAACTGGATATATGTGTTGTATTTTACTTTTTTTTTTCATTCAACAATGTATTTCTGAAAACTTTTGGTTTTGTTTTGGATCAGCTTTATTGAGGCGTAATACACATGTAATAATAAAATTTACTACTTTTAAATATACAGTCTTAGTATTTGACCAATATATACATTTGTGTATGTATATTAAAATGTATATATTTTGTCATTTTGACAGGTGTAAAAGTTATATAACAGCTACCATATTCATAATGTAGAATATTTTCACCACCTCAAAAAATACTTTTATTCCCCTTGGTAGTGAGTCTCTTTCCTCCATCCCACAGTCCTTGGCAAGCATTGATCTGCTTTCTGTTACTATAGTTTTGTCTTTTCTAGAAGTTTATGTAAATGGAATCTTAGAGTATGTGATCTTTCATGCTGGCTTTTTTTACTTAGCATAATCTGCAGCTTGATTTCAGAAACTACATAATGGTCCATTGTCTGAATGTACTATGATTTATTTAACCCATTTCCTATTAATAGATTCCAATATGTTGCTAATGTAAATAATTCTGTGATCTTCTCCCTTTACATAAATTTCTGTGTACATCTCTAATTATATCCTTAGGATGAATTTCCAAAGTTGGAATTGCTGATCAAGAGGTAATGAACATTAAGGCTCTGGATTCATTTTGCCAATCTGTCCTTCAAAAAATTGTGTCATTTCTCCCATGTTTTATAGTCATCGCCACTGATGACAGTTTCTCTGTAGAACAAAAAATAGCCGTTTTCTGAGATACTTCTCCCAACCTGTATCTTAAGCTTTTCTTCTTTCTTCTCACCAGGTAACTGCTAGAATATATTTAAGAGCATAGGCTAAGCAAATTATACATTAATGTACTAGGAGAGCTTTCAAACTTTAATGTGTATATGAATCATCTGGGGAACATGCTAAAATGCAGCTTCTAATTCAGTAAGATGGGAGTAGAATCTGAAAGATTCTACTCCACTGTTTTTAACAAGCTCCCAGTAATGCTGATGCTACTGACTGGTGGATCACTTTTTGTGTGTCAAGGTGCTAGAATGTTATGTAGTTATTGATCTTACATTTATGAAGAGTTTCTGGAGAGATCTTCATGCTATGATTTACAATGGAAAATGCACTTGAGAGTGTATGTGGTATATTTCAACTATATGACTGTATATGTGCATTGAAGAAAAACTGGAAATGAATATACAGTTATGTTAACTGGACCTATTACTACTGTTTAGCAAGATTTATAGGTAGTTTTCATTTCCATCTTTATGCTTTGTAATTGTGCACAATCAGCATATCTTACTGTATAGGGAACCTAATAGACTTTGTTGTTACTTTATTTTCTAGCAGTACTAATGAAGATGAGGATTTGAACCCTGAACAGAAGATAGAAAGGGAGAAGGAGAGGCGGATGGCTAACAATGCCAGAGAACGTTTACGCGTACGGGATATTAATGAAGCATTCAAAGAGCTTGGGCGAATGTGTCAGCTTCACTTGAAGAGTGAAAAACCCCAAACAAAACTCCTTATTCTTCATCAAGCTGTGGCAGTCATTCTTAGTTTAGAACAGCAAGTCAGAGGTAAGCAGGTTCAGCTGAGATGTGTAACTTCTGCCTCAGGTGGGCAGACATTTCTGTTTACAGTTGCTCTTCTGCTTGGGGAAGTTGTTTGTTATTTCTCCCAGTACTTCTGCCGCTGTATCGTCAGTGTCATTTTCCCTATAATTCTCACCTCTGTCTCACTGCATTGCACAATATGTGAGCTCAGTGTTCTCCACCAATGGAGAGTAATTCTGTGAAGCAAAACAGAGAACAGACAGCCTCTGCCTGCTGCTCAGCAATAGTTGCTTTGTGTCCCTTTGCTCTGGTGGCTTCTCATCTCTCAACCATTACATTTACCTGCTTGGACCTGCCCTCCTCCCTGTTCTTTATGTCTTTCCTACTTCTCTGTATTTATTTTCTTGCCTCCTCTGCCTTGGAGTATCTGCCGTGCCCTGCTTATTACTAGGATGCCTTGTCATGGGCCCTTCTGCCTTCGCCAGACGTGGATGTCCTTTACACCCATATCAATAAGGTCTCAGGGCTTCTTTGTTGACCCCAGACCAGGAACACCAGGAACTTTTTGGGCTAACATACATTGGCATGCCTGTGTGTCCTAAAGGGCAAAAACAGCTCACCTACTGCTTACTCAGTTTCATTTTTCACAAAGTTTGTTGCAATCTTGAAGAACTTTTGAAACTTCATTTGTTCAACATGTATTTATTGCATACCTCCTCTGTTACAACCAGCTATGTCCTAGACCCTGGGTTATCAAATAATAGAAGCTTCTTGTCCTTAAGAGGTTCTACCATCAAGGTTGAGTTTCTCCATGTGTTTATATATTGTCTTAAAATATGCTAAGCCTTTTTGCAAGGAATTCATAAATGTGGCCCTAGGTTCCTGGTCTGACCACTAGTCTCTCTGAGAGCAATTCTTTCTATTTTGTTTGAAGAAGGTTCAAACAGGAAAAAAGAGTAGGGTGGGCAGATGCTTGAAAACTACAACCATGGACCCTCAGCATAGATTATAGAACGAGTACTCATTCTTAGGAAAACCAGAGTTAGAGAAGTTGAACAAACTTTCAGAAATATATACAGTAGTAGTTAATTCATCCATCCACTTCCTTCTGATATATTTAATGAATAAGAATGAAGGATAGATCATTTTGTGTACAATCACCTAACATTAAAAGTGATTGATCCTCTTCTCCCAAGATCCTTGAAGTATCTGTGGAGTATAAATGTTACTGAAACTTAACCTTCAAGGAGCTATAGACTCCCTTGGGATATATGCAAGGAGGCAGATTTTTACCCACTCACCTGTGGGAGAAGTAGTGGTTCCTTGAACTACTGATACCTCCTGTCACTTTACCAAAGGTTTTTTTCTTGAATTGTGCCTGACACCCTTTGTCTCGCTCTGAATGCAACAAGGCACCTGTGTTCAGTGGTTCAGATATATTCATTCTCCTCCTCTTCAGCCCAGGATATCTTCTACCCTGACTTCACCCAGCCATTTATTGTTAAAGCCACTGCCTCAGTCTGGGCTGTGAAAGTCTGGTACTCAACAGGAGTACCAGAATTAATTCTAGTACATGGCATCTTTTCCTTCCATAGTGCATTAAAATCAGAATGTAGTCATTTGTGTTTTAAAAATCTTTTTTTTTAAGAACAGAGACCCCTGCTTCAGATTTAAGCCATCAAAATGAGAAATACTTCTATGTTTGACAAACACAAACATAAATAAATAAAACATAAATTCTACCATGCCTGGATGGACCTTACTCATTTGTAACATTGGACTTTGGAAGTGGTTCCATACAGGCACCTAGAACAGAAAAGCTGGGTCTGAGAGAGGATCTATCATCTATGCTTATTCAGCTTACTGACTTTCTGGTCTTTTATGGTACTGACTATTTCACATAGAAATCTGGCTGATGAGAGTTTGAACAGATTTCAAATACACTGAACTGTAACTTTGTTAGGGATTGCTCTGATACTCAGAAAAGCCTACTTCTCCCTTACCCTCAGACAAGGCCTGAAGCCTTCTCTTAGGACTTTACATAAAAGCCTAGGGTTCTTTGTAATACTTCTTTTTTTAAATTATCTCCCTATCTATCTGTCTATTTTTGTGGAGATGGTTTCACTGTGTTGCCCAGGCTGATCTTGAAATCCTGGCCTCAAGCAACTACAGGTGTGAGCCACCATGCCTGGGCTCAGACTCCTTGCAGGACACTCCAGTGACTGTCAAATAGGGTTTAGAATCCTTCATACAGGCCACAATACCTGTTCCTTGTCTTTGGCAGTACCTTCAGAGTTTCGTATAGCCGCTGTCATTTCCTCAACTTACCTCCAACAGTTTTGAGTTATTTGGTAACTTGATCACTTTTGAGAGCCTCTTCATCCCTACTATGACTCTCCTTAGTAATCCCTGATCCAGCAGTTTCTATTAAAACATATCTCGTGTTTACATGACCTATTGGGGCAACCTCTGCACTCTGGCTCCCCTTCTCGTTTGGGATGATATTCCAAGCCTGTATCTGTTGTGACACATCCTGTCACAATCCCTGGATAAGTAGTTATACTAGAAGGCAAGCAGATCCAGGTGTAGCAGTTTATCCCAGAGAAGAGTGGGAAGAGTGGTTTCTCTTCTAAACCTCAGATTTTGCCAGAGCACTCTTAGTGCCTTGTTGCCCCACCTTGTTGCCCCACCTGTCAAATGCTGAGTCCCCACCATCAATTTAAGCTTTTCCATTATCGTGACTACGTTATTTGTACCTTTGCCATGTTTATTCCCCAGCAGATAAATCATATTATCTTCAAGTTTGTACTCTTAGCATTACCCAAGACTCAGTTGAAAACATTTTCTCCTCTCAAACTCTTTCACAGGTCGGCTTGATCAGCTCACTGTTCTTTTGATAATTGAGAGATAAGATAGCTATTAGATTTTTATTTTCCTGGTCTCCAAGTGAGTTTGAAGATAAATGGTGTAGGACAGTGGTTCTGAAATCTGGCTGGTCTCAGAATGACCTGAAACTTTTATTTTCTCAAACATTTCCAAAATTTACCCCTAGGAAATTCTGGTGCAATTAGATGGTTAAATGTGCTAGACTTAGCATATGCACTGATAATAATGCAGTCTTTCCTGCAGCCCCACTAAAATAAATAAAAATAGTATTATTTTAACCCACAAGGAGAGATGAGAGAGCAGACCATAGCAGATGAGATAGCAAAAGCTGCATGTAGGATGGAAAGTCGATGGAATAGCGGTAACTGACTTAGTTGTTCTAAGTACCGAAGAATACATGTCTCAAGAGTGGTAAGATCTAACCTTGTGCTAAATATAATGATTTTTTAAAAATTACCCAAAGTTAAAATACATAATCATGAAATTTCAGAGCGTAAGGTAAAAAGAATATTCTAAAACTTCTGGAGATAAAATTTAAATAGCTTATAGATAAACAAGAATCAAAATACCAGCGTCCTGGACAGTAGTAGTGGATTCTAGGAGATAGTGAAACAGTACCTCCAAATTTCTGAGGAAAATAATTTCAACCAGAATTCCTTTTTTCTTTTTTTTTTTTTTTTTTTTGAGATAGAGTCGCGCTCTGTCTCCCAGGCTGGAGTGCAGTGGTGCAATCTCGGCTCACTGCAACCTCTGCCTACTGAGTTCAAGCAATTCTCCTGCCTCAGCCTCCTGAGTAGCTGGGATTATAGGCACGCGCCACCATGCCCAGCTAATTTTTTGTATTTTTGGTAGAGATGGGGTGTCAACTGTGTTGACCAGGCTGGTCCTAAACTCCTGACCTCAGGTGATCCACCCACATCAGCCTCGCAAAGTGCTGAGATGACAGGCTTGAACCACCACCTCCGGCCAATTTCTACCTAGAATTCTATACCTTGCCAGACAATTAATCAAAAATGGAAAATAAAATTATATTCCAGATAAGCTGGCATGGTGTGTGCCTATAGTCCCAGCTACTTGGAATGTTGAGGCAAGAGGATCACTTGAGCCCAGGAATTTGAGGCTGAAGTGAGCTATGATCATGCTACTACACTCCAACCTGGATAACAGACCCAAGACCACCCTGCCTCTAAATAAAAATTAAGTTGGCTGGGCACAGTGGCTTATGTCTATAATCCCAGCACAATAGAAGGCCAAGGCAAGAGGATCACTTGAGCCCAGATCACTTGAGACCAGCCCAAGCAACATAGTGAGGCCCAATCTCTTAAAAAATTTTAAAAATCAGCTGGGTATGGCACACATCTATAGTCCCAGCTACTTGGGAGTCTGAGGTGGGAGGATCACTTGAGCCTAGAAGATGGAGGCTGCAGTGAGCTGTGATTGTACCACTACACTCCAGTCTAGTCAGCAGAGTGAGACCCTGTCTCAGAAGAAAAATAAATATTTCAGATATGCAAATCCTTTAAAAATTTACCTTCCAGGCCAGGCATGGTGGCTCATGCCTGTAATCCCAGCAGTCTGGGAGGCCGAGGCAGGCGGATCACCTGAGGTTGGGAATTCAAGACCAGCCTGACCAACATGGAGAAACCTTGTCTCTACTAAAAATACAAAAAATTAGCCAGGCGTGGTGACACATGCCTGTAATCCCAGCTACTCAGGAGACTGAGGCAGGTGAATCGATTGAACCCAGGAGGCAGAGGTTGTGGTGAGCCAAGATCGTGTTATTGCACTCCAGACTGCGCAACAAGAGCGAAACTCTGTCTCAAAACAAAAACAAAAAAAATAACCTTCCACGTACGTTCTTTTTTTTTTTTTTTTTTGAAAAATTCTCCTCACTCTGTTTCACTCTGTTGCCTACGCTGGAGTGCAGTGGCACGATCTAGGCTCACTGCAACCTCCAGCTCCTGAGTTCTAGTGATTCTCCGGCCTCAGCCTCCCGAGTAGCTGGGACTACTGGTGTGTGCAACCACTTCTGGCTAAGTTTTTGTATTTTTAGCAGAGGCGGGGTTTCACCATGTTAGCCAGGATGTTCTCAATCTCCTGATCTCGTGATCTGCCTGCCTCAGCCTCCCAAAGTGCTG